CTATCCCCACAGCCCATCAGTGTGGCCTGGCTGTGGTATGGCTGGGAGGTGACAAAGAGGCATGGGATGGGCACACAGCCATGGGGCACAGAGAGCCCAGGCACGAAGCCATGTGGTGGGAAGAGGGTTCTCCTGCCCTCTGGGAAAGGCAGCCACGTTGGTGTGAACCCACCTGGCAGTGCAGAGTGGATGGCGGTGTCTGTTCTGTGCAGGGCGAGACACGCCAGGCACAACTGGCAGTACAGGATATTCCCATCAGGGCAGTGGATGCAGCCCATGGTCAGGAGACACATCCCCCTGAAAGGGGGGGAGAGAAGAGGGGTCAGTTCACCCACATCACCCTAATTGTCACGGGGCTGCCTTGGCCATGAGGGATCACTCCTGTGTGTGGTGGGGTGACCTTGCTCAAAAGCAAATTCCCCCGACACTCACAGTCATGCTCAGCATGCCCCAGCCTACCCCAAGGGGGAACCTTGGGGCCCTCCCCTAAACCTCAGTGCAGCCCCATTGGCTGCCAGGGCCATTACAACCAGCAGAGCTGCTCAGGCAGAGCCAGCCTGAGACTTCTCCAGCCTCATCTCCCACAGCCTCTTTCTCCTGCTGCTGCACCCACTGCTGCACACTCTGGGCCTCACTGCTGGCACCATGCAGCCCCCTCGCTGCTGCCTCCTCCTCGTCCTTCTCTACCTCTTCCTCCTCTCTGGGACATGGGCAGCCCTGGAGGGTAAGTGGGAGCCTTGCCTCATCCACAGCTGCTCCCATGCCCACATGGGCAAGAGGCTTCCTGCTCCCCACCCACTTTTGGCTCCTGCTTCCTCACCCTTCTTTGTCCCCTGGCTCCACACCTCCTCCTCGGCAGGGATGCAACCACCTGAGGTGGGTGCAGGGGGTGGGAGCCGGGGCTGCCAAGGATGAAGGGGGCCTAGGGGGGGCCCACAGATCTCTGCAACCTCAAGGACCTGTCCCTCAGCCCCTCCACTTTCCCTGTCCCTCTCCTCCCTGCCAACCCCTGTCTCATATAGGGACCTTCACTATCCGGCTGCTTCACACCTCTACCTTCCAAAACACCTCCTTTGTGGACACGGAGGGGCTGGGCCTGCTGGAGGACATCGAACTTGGTTCTCTTGATAAGCACACCTGGTCCATCCACTTCTGCCAGCCCTGGGTGCGTCCAGCCCTGTCCCACAGTGAGTGGGACAACATTGACAACATATTCAGGATCTATTTGCATTCGTGCATCCGCCTGATCAATGAAGGGGCCATACAGAAGGATGTGCCCTGTGAGTATCCACTCTTCACTGTGTCTCCTCTCTAAACAGCAGCTGGGGAGTGGGGAAGGATCTGGCCAGTGCTGGCACTGATCATGCCTGCAGGAAGGCAATCCCAGCCCCTCATGCAAACTCTCTCCCCTCTCGGCCCCTCCAGACCCCTTTGTGGTTCAGTACATGGCAGGCTGCAAGCTCTACCCCAACAGGACCTCTCAGGTCTTCTTCTATTTGGGCTACAATGGGCAAGACTTCCTCAGCTGGGACACCGACCATGCCACCTGGACCCTCTCCCAGGACACCGACCTGGCACGGTACGTCAGGGCTGTCCTCCAGAACTACACCATCCTCGGTGAGCTGGTGGATGGCATCTTCAACGATACCTGCATCAATGCCATGGAGATGTTCCTGAGTTACGGGAGGGCAGCTCTGGAGAGACAAGGTGAGACCACCCTGACCCTGCCACAGCCACCCCAAAGCCCTGGGGCCAAGCCGTGCCCAACCAGGGCTTCCCCCACCCCTTTGCTCCCACCCCCCAGAGCTGCCCGTGGCCACGGTCTTTGCCCGCACGCCCAGCCCACAACAGCTGCTGCTGGTTTGCCACGTCACCGCCTTCTACCCCCGGCCCATCAGTGTGGCCTGGCTGAGGGATGGCCAGGAGGTGCCTCCGGGCCCGGAGCTCAACACCAGCCCCATCCTGCCCAACGCTGACCTCACCTACCAGCTCCGCAGCGTCCTGGCCGTGGCCCCCCGGGACGGGCACAGCTACGCCTGCCGCGTGCGCCACCGCAGCCTGGGCACCCGCAGCCTCCTCGTCCCCTGGGGTAGGTGCCACCCGTGGGGACGGGAAGGGGCACCCGAGCCGCCCGCCCGGTGGGATGGAGCAAAGCCCAGGAAGTTCATGGCAGCCCCTCCTTATATTCCCCAGGGAACTCAGAGGTGGTGCTGATCACAGGGCTCGTGGTCGGGCTGCTGGGAGCCGTGGCTGTTGCTGCCTTGCTGGTGCTTTGGGTGTGGAGACGCAGGTGAGTCTCCTCCTGCCCCACAGAGCAGCAGAGGGAGAGGAGGGGAGGGGATGCCCCAGGGCATTTCTGCACTGGGCAGCGGAGCTCCGGCTTCAGCCCTGCCAGCTGCTGTCTGCACCCCTACAGGGTCTCTGCCGTGGAGCATCCGGGAGCTGTCCCCCTCTCCTTTTGGAAAGCACCAGCAGATGGAGGAATCAGAGTCCAGGAACTCCATCCTGAGCAAAGAAGCTTAGCCCAGAAGGGAGCCAACCGTCCCCGTTCCCTCTTGTCACCTGTCAGCCAACAGGG